CAGAAGAAAAACTGCAACAATTGAAATCCAAAAATTAATAAAAACTAACAGAAATAAAAATAGAGATAAAATTTGACAGCAGCAATTAAAAACCAGAATCTGACAAAAATAAAAAACCAGAGATAGACAGAATTTGACAGCAGCAATTAAAAACCAAAATCTAACAGAAATAAAAAACCAGAGACAGACAAAATTTGATAGCAGTAATTAAAAACTAGAAATTAGCAAAAATAAAAAACCAGAGACAGATAGAATTTGACAGCAGCAATTAAAAATCAAAATTTGACAGAAATAAAAAAACCAAAGACAGACAAAATTTGACAGCAGTAATTAAAAACTTGAAATGAACAGAAATTAAATGTAGAACCAGAAGCTATTAGAAAAAACTAGAAATTGAAACTAGCAGAAACTAAATGCAAAACCAAAAACAGAATTTAACAGCAGAAACAGATCCAAATCAATAAAAAAATTTACCTTAACATATTCATCTCAAACAGATTTAGGAGCTGTCACACATTTCTTTTTAACGTCCCAACCAAAACCAGATAAATTGAGAAGATTAGAAACCACACTATAGTTAATTTTTAACTTTTTAACCCTAGACTGGATGTGGGGATGGGCCTTAATACCACTTATACAGATATATAAAAGATTAATATCTAATATATATAATGAAATAAAACTAATTAATGGTTAACACTAAATCACAATGACAACATTCTTCAATAAAATTATAATAACAACTAAAATATATAAATTCTTTTGATTGATAATTATTAAAAGTTATAAAAATAATTTCATATAAAAAAATACCAATAACTTTATCTATCATTTTTAAGTAAACTAGGACAATAGGTCAATGAATTTCTATAATATATAGGACTTTCAATCACTCTTTTGCCTTATTAATTAGCAATAAAAGTTCATCTCAAAGATGAAATACCACTAATACTAATGCAACATCAAAATGGGCAAAAATTTCCTAAACATTTTTTTATCAATCTTGCATTGAAAATATGCTTGAAGAGATGCATCCAAAGTTATTTGTCAGAGCAGATTATTTTCTTTGTTTGTGCTTTATTCATTACTTAAAGTACTGATTATGAAATTCTAAAACTGAAAATCCATGAAATGTGCTTGATTGTATAAGGGTGTGTATGTACTTTATATACTAGCTTAATAGGAAGTCTAAGTAGAAACATAATTGTGTTTATTGTTTTTCTATTTTTTTTAATTCTGAAAAGGAAGGTTGAGGAGCATATGCATAGGAAAGCTGTAACGGAAACATATCATAAGGTTGAGGAGCATATGCACACGTCGTCTTATCCTAAATAATAGCAAAAAAATGAAGACTAGCTAGAAAAAATAAAGAGTACAGATGAAACAATCAGAATCAGTAGCAACAATACTTGCGGAGCGAAAAAGATAAAGAAGCAAAAATATATTAAAGGGAAAAGCAAAACCCAGAAACACAGAAGACGGATAAAGGAGATGGATGAGCGATAATACCAGATGGCGCAATAAAGGAGATGAATGAGCGATAATACCATATGGTGCAATAAAGGAGATGGACGAGCAATAGGTGAGATCGATGGAGCAAGTTGGCAATGGAGATGGCGTCTAAGGTATCCGACTCAGGTATGCGAGACTGACGAAGTTTATTAGGGTAAATATGACAGGGGCACTCTTGTCCAAAAATTATTATTACCATGGGTAGTTTTGTCATAAAATATAACAAATCCAAGTTTGATTTCTCAATACCATGGGGGAGATGGGTTTAAGCAATCCCATTTGAGTGGGTTTAAGCAAACCCAAGTATGACTTAATATCTCATACCAAACATATTAAATTGGGCCTTTCCCAATACTAATGCCAAACCCAACCCCTTAATACTACATACCAAATATAGCCTATAGCTCTATTTAATACAAAGGAATAAAGAAGTGGGATTAGTATTGACATTGATTAATCTCAAATTTTTATGTTTGATATGAGGGAATAATAATTTAATCCCAAATTCAAACCTATTTAGGTGAGAATATTCATTACCATCACCTCTCAGGGTGTTGTAAAATCAATCCTGAAATTATTTTTTTAAGACCAAATTGCCCCTTGTTCTTGCTTCACGGTCCGTCCTCATCTTCTTCTTTTGATTATTCAATGCTTCAACAACCCATTTCCTTCACCTTCTTCGTTCAATTATTCCTTTCCATTCGATCTTTTAATTATGCAGGTTTGATTATTCCTGCTTCAACAATACATTTTCTTCATCTTCATCTTTGAACCCATGTTAATGGTCGTTGGTGGCAGTTTTGAATTCGTCTTCTTCAATTTAGTGGCAGCACCTTTAAACCCAAATCCATGAATTGCGTTTGCTCTCTAGAAAAGTATATCTAAAAAATTTTTTGGTTTAGCTCTTTGCGTTCGAGTCCGATTTTATTGCCTCAACTTTAAAGAAACCTAGATCCATGATTTTTGTTCACTATCTGGAAAGGCAGATTTGTTTCAATAGTAGAGGTTGCAGCGCGAGAGAGAGAGAGAGAGAGGATGATGATGATGAAGATGTTTGATGGTGAAGGTTGGGGCAAGAGAGAGAGGATGATGATGGAGAAGAAGATGAGGATAATATTGTCTTTTAGCTACTTTTTTTTCGGGTAAACTTGAGTCTGATTTTTTTTAATTCCATGACATACCAAACATAATTTCAAAACTCATTCCCACTCCTAATTCCACTATCAGTCCCAATCTTTATCCCATAAAATTCAATACTTGTACCAAATAGGGCCTATGTGCTCAAAGGCTAATAAGATTTGAATTGTTCATAGTATCAACAGTTCAAATTTAAACTTTTTTATTTTTATTTATATTTATTAAATAAAATTTTAAAAAATTAATAAATTTACTTTATCACTAATTTATACAATAAAGATTTAATTTAGATGGTTCAGTTAAACATTAAAAGATTTTATAATTTTTTAAATTGATTATCCAGATATACTCTGGAGAGTTTAAATTTAATATTAATTTTTAAAACTTTTATAAATTTTTATTTTGGTAAATATAATACTAAAATTAATGATAATCTCCAAACTAGCATTTTAAAAAATTAGCTTTTAAGAAAAAAGTTATGAGTTAAAAATTTTAAATTTAAATTGTTCAAAGCATATTTGCATAGCTAATTTATAAAATTTTTAATATTAAATTGGATCATCTATATTAAATATGTATTATCTAGATTAGTCATAAAATAAATTTATTAACATTTTTATAATTTTTTAATAAAAATAAAATAAACCTTTAAATATGGACTTAATTTGAGATGTGTAGATCTCATCTTCCAGTCTTTTATACCATGCACTTGACGAGAATAATTTAAAATCATATTTTTCACTATCCATTTCCTAAGTCCTTGCCAAATTAATTTTTTTTTTTTTGGAAGAGTGAGAGAAGTGAAAAAGAGAGCTCCTCCAATTTTTGAACTTGTCTTCATTTTTTACCAAATAAAAAAAGGGGAAGGCTGGAGTAGAAGGAGCTCCCTCTCCAAACAAAATGGATTATGGAATAACGAATTGCTAGTTTGGCGTGTTGGATATTAGCGTAATCTCTAGTATATAGGTTTAATAGATTTAATAGAAGATGATGGTTTGGGAAAGTAGAATTGGGAAGAATGACAAGACAAGAAATTTTTACGCTGGGCGCTGCATCATCTGTGATATGTTTAATAAAAATGTGACATTCAAATATTATTTAATATAAAATAATTTTGACATTAATAATAATAAGGTTAGAAAAGGCAAGATATTAAATATAAATTCTGTTTAAAAATAAAATTAATTAAAATAATATTATATAAAATTTTATTTGGATAACTTGAAGCATTTTTGGACATGCTACAAATAACATGAAACACTCAATTTACGTAAAAATTTCTCAAGACAAAAAGAGATATGACTAATGAATTTACTTACAAAGTCCAGGGCATAGATCTAAATTTAAATAATACTTTCAGAGATTTTATAGATTATCTATCAATAAGATTTCATGACCTTATAAGTTATAAATTAAATCATTATCAATTCGACTATCATTTATTGGTTTGACAATATTATTTTAGTTTTGCACTTTTAAGAGACAATATTATTATTTTTATAATAAAATAGTTAGAAAATTAATTTTTTTTATCATTCTTCATTTATGGTAAAAATTGATGAAAATCTTATTTTAAAAATAAGAAAATTTTAGCTATCTCAGTATCATCTAACAACGCTCTAATGAGAAGCATACATTTGTAAAACATTTTCTAAAAATGTGCACAGAATTCAATTTCGTGAGATGAAACATGAAATTTGCACAAGGAATCACCATCATCATGTAATGATACCTTGCGTCATAGTTTTTTAAATGAAAATGAAAATTGTAAATAAGGGATAACTTGAGCCACACTTTTTTTTTATGAAATAAATTAATTTTTTATTCCTTTAATTTTTAACTTACTTATAATTTATTCTCTCAATTATAATTCATTATAACTCAATATTTTAATTATGACTCACTTATAATTTAGTTCTTTAACTTTTAACTCATTTATATTTTAGTCTCATAACTTTTATTAATTTTTTTAATATTAGCTTATATCTCACATTAAAAAGTAAGGAGAGGATATTTTAGAGTAATATATGAGCATGTTTTATTCCTTTTATTTGATAAGGATAATTTAAAAAAATTAAAAAAAGGATTAAGTTATAAATAAATTAAAAGTTGAGGGATTGAGTTGTAATGACTTATAATTGAGAGATTGAATTGCATTGAGTTATGGTGAAGAGATTGAGTTATAAGTAAGTTAAAAGTTAAAAAATTAAAAGATTAATTTTTGTTAATTAAAATTGTAATTTTAATTGAAAAAAATTAAAATGACAATTGGAGAAAGATTTAGGGAAATGAAAGGAACCGCTCGCGGATGACAGAGAACCAGATGCCATTTGGCTTCGGACCGTGCTTTGCCCGCGCGCACACATATATATGGCCTACTCCGCTCTTGATTTCATCAACGAAGTGACGCTCAGATCGAACCGTGCTCATCTTACACCCTTTTCACTTGGGAATCGCGTAATTTCTCGCCAGCCAAACGCCTCCACCGATGGCCGATCAGCTCACCGACGACCAGATCTCCGAGTTCAAGGAGGCCTTCAGCCTCTTCGACAAGGACGGAGATGGTCTCCACTCTTAGATCCCTTTCCTCTTTCTTTTATTTTTTCTTCGATCTTCTTTTCTCTGCAATTGTTGACTCTGGATGTGTTCTTAGATCTGATTGCTCCTTCTTTGCTTGCCTGCTTTTGTTTCGTGTGAAGTTCGCTCCCGTCATTTTTCTAATTTGAAATTTTCTGTCTGATCTAGGGTTCCTTCTTGTTTGACTTTTTGCTGTTGATTTTGAGTGCAAGAAATGCTAGTGGTTCCCGATATTTCTTTGTTTTTTCATGTTGGCCCTTCCTTAGTCTCGCTTGAGGCTCCTGGGATTATACAGGCAATATCCTGGTTGGATTATGTTATCCTCGTAGCTTTCTGAATCTATACTTTTAAAGTCCTCGCTTGATATTTCGTTTCTCGTCTGACCCTATCAGATTGCCGTATGTGATGTGTGTGTGTGTGATTCTATGGCTTCCGTTTTACCGTAATTTAATATGGGGAACGCCCTTTTACATCTCTGTATTGTATGTGGCCTGCACTTTGGTTTTTATCGTATGGCCCTAACTTTATTTTAATGTTGCGGATGATATTTTAGCTGGATAATCCTAACATTTTTAGTTGTTGATCTATCAGTGCGCCATCATCCTGTGGTCAGTAGCATCACATCTCTGACAAGAAAGTAGAATTTGTGGCATTTTACTTATCTTTCCAGCAATAGTGAATTGGAGTTCGCCCTATGCTTACTTTTAGAACTGTCTATGGTCATGAGGCAAAGAGAATAAGTAAATATAGGGTTTCTTCAGGAAATTTCCTTGTTTTGAATGCCCTAAGCCTGAGTAGTTTCTCAATTTTTGATAGAGCACGAGTAGAAACCTCTTTCCATGCTTTAAAAAATTCATTTCAACGTCTGAACGATTTATTTATTTATCTGTCTATTTTGCGTGTCACGACTGAATGGGTTAGTGTCTTTTTCTATTTTTTAACACGCTAGTATGCTGCAGGTTGCATCACAACCAAGGAACTTGGGACTGTGATGCGATCACTCGGCCAGAACCCCACAGAAGCAGAACTTCAAGACATGATAAATGAAGTTGATGCTGATGGAAATGGTACCATTGATTTCCCAGAGTTTCTCAATCTGATGGCCCGAAAGATGAAAGATACTGATTCTGAGGAGGAACTCAAGGAAGCTTTCCGTGTTTTTGACAAGGATCAGAATGGTTTCATTTCTGCAGCTGAGCTCCGCCACGTTATGACGAATCTTGGTGAGAAGTTGACAGATGAAGAAGTTGATGAAATGATTCGCGAGGCTGATGTTGATGGTGATGGGCAGATCAACTATGAGGAATTCGTCAAAGTCATGATGGCCAAGTGAGGACCAATCAATCAAAACCAAAATTTGAAAAGCATATAACGAGAAAAGGGGCAGGGCAGATAAGTTTTGATGAGAATTCTATTTCCATTAGGACATCTTCTGGTGTCATTAACTTTTGTTGGTTGGTTGGTTGGTTGTCTATTTTCTTGTTTGTTTTATTGGTACTGCTCATTGGTATTCTTGTTTGTTCTGTCCCTTGTTTTAGTAGTTTGGATTAGCCATGTCTCACCATGCATTGGTTCTTCAATTTTCTACCTTTTTGGTTATTATGAACCCAGAACAATTGGATGCATTTTGTGTTTTTCCTTGTTGGGTGGCTAATTATGTTAATATTTACTACTTTTTCCATGAATTGTGCTGGACGCTCGTCAGTTTTAGCTGTGGATGATTTCCTGTTTTTAAAGGATGATTGTCGAGTCAGTGCATATCTTATCCTCGGTTTGATAGTCTAATGTTAGACATAATTTGCGTTTCTCGCGAAGGAAGAAATTGCTTTCTTTGAAAGCTACTCCAAAGTCCAAATTATGTCATAGTGCTTGCCGCACCCCCTTGCTTTTTCCCTATCAGGGTTAGATAATTTGTGGCGAAACTATGTTTTTGTCCGATTATATGACACGTCGGAGGGAATGGTAGTAATTTGGTAGCTTGAATCGATCTTTATCTCCTTGGTTCAAACTACACCTTTCCCCATAATGGAGAGAATCTAATTCGCGGATGATTTCTCATCCCAGTTATATTCTTATCTCTTTGGTTCACAACTTTTGAGCTTAAAATTTTTTTGTTTTTCCTGCCCTCGTCTTCTCCTATCTTCTGTTTCTAAAATAATTACAGTAGCCGAGATATGAATGAAATTAGGAAAAAGAAGTCTTTGCCGTTGTTGAGTTCATCGAAATCGATTGATAATTTAGTTTTGCTTTTTTATACCTGGAATTTTTGGTTTTGAGCTCTAGTCTTTTACTCATCTCATTCTACTCTCCCTACTATTTGAGTTAGTCTCAAGTGACAATTTTGCATGGGGAATTAACACAACAGAAAGTTTTGAAGTTTCTCTAATTTTTTTGGCAAAATCGGTGAAAAAATTATATTTTGTCAACGAACAGCAGAGAATGGAGTTTAATATTTATGCAAAACGAGGAGACAAATTGTAGTTTCGGTCTATTTTATTTTATTTTGATATTTTTTTAATCAAGATGCTTTTTAATTTTTAATTTTTATTTTTCATTATACAAGATGCTGTATTCTGTGTGGAGTCATTGCACATGTTAATTCCAAGGTTTTCAGCTTCAAAATAGTCGATCCAGGACTCTGGTGGTTTGTCAAACGCTACTGAAAATATATATCTGCCCCAAGCGTTGGGGAGTGGCCTTCGGCAACAATAGCCTTTTTTTCTTGAGAATTTGTGGTTTTATAAGAATATAAATTAACGTCTGCTCAGTACGTTACTCCACAGTTCCTGGCTGATGTTGCAGGGTCAACACTGGGTACGGTTCATTTCTTTCCAAATTCAAATTTGTGAAGGGCTTCTTGGAGACTATTTAATATATTTGAAAAAAAAGTAAAGAGCTTTTTGCAGACTATTTAAGATTAATTTCATTTACTTATTTTTTAAAAAATATTTTTGTCTCCAGCCTTTTTTTATTAATAAAAAATTCTTCATATCTTTTGATGACAATTTGACATGACACAGCTATTGGCTGATGTTTCAATATTCCTTCAAGTTATCTTTTTCGTTTTGGGGGAGGGGAGGGGGGATCTGATGCCCCGTAGTTGGATTTCATAAACAAATTATTGCACCCTATTCCATGATTGAAATGGTGAACTTATGCTTATTCGTCACAGCATGATTTAAAGTGACGGATACGGTGGATTCTGAGCTCGTGTCTTGCATAGTAAATAAACTCTTCTTGGAATCTCGTCAAATAAGATTTGCAAATTCTCTCCCCGGGGAGGATCTGATGCCCCATGGTTGGATTTCATAAACAAATTATTGCACCCTATTCATTGCCCCCGGCATTTTACTATTTTTTATAAACGGTATTTTACTATTTTATTTCTTTCTGAACTGTGCAAGTCAGATTTATACTACTTAAATTTTTTATTATTTTTAAATTTATATCGTTATTTTGGTTGGCAGTGTCCATTGAAAATTATATTTATTTTTATATTTTTAAGTGAAAAAAATAAAATTTAGACGGTTCATGTTAAGGATAAACATTTAAAATATATACACAATACATAGCCTTCTAGAAGTAAGTTAATATAGATATGTACGAGTATTAAGATATATTTTGTCAATATTTTCAAAGAAAATTATTTATAATTATTATTTTGCATTTGATAACTAGAAGGGAATCGGTCATTCGAAAAAGAATTTAGTTACTCTGCTGATTAAGCTTTGCATAATGTCTATTTTGATGTTTTGAACAAAGATGGGATCATTGATTAGAGTAGAGAGACTGGGGTAGAAGAAAGCGGTCAAAAGAATGAAAAGGGTAAATTGAAAAACAACAAAGATTAAAGCGGACAGAAATTACATTTGGTCTGGTACGCGCTAGTATGTCCCGACGACGCATTATATGCCCCGGGTTGAACTATTTTACTCTGGGCCCCCCAAAAACTGAACTAGTTAGTTTTGAGCCTGCTAATGCCACCGAATAGGGCTTAACACTAAATTAGAGGGGTGAAAGATGGGGCTTGTAATAAAAATCGAAGAATAGTGTTTCTCTTAGCACTCTTTATTAATGAGTGTGTATCTTTTGTTTGGTTGCAGAATCAGAAGGAAAAGGATGGAAGAGAAGCATAGCAAAAATGGCGGAAGCAAAGGTGCCCAGTACAGGAGACGTCGTTGTTCCATCCTCTGAATGAGATTCTGCCACAGTGCCACCTAAAAGTACGTGACTTGTATATCTATTATGTAATAATGGAAATCAGATGATAATGATAGTCATCGCGTTGTAGCAAAATATGCAGTAAATGACATCAAATAATTGAGTGTGATGCGGTAATGATAAGTAATTTATAACTAGGGAAGAGCATATGGTTGAGTTGATGGTAACTTCGAAGATACGACCTGCGCTAACCTGCCCGTAAATTAAAAAATGCAGTATCCTAATGGAGCATGTTCGTTTCTCACGAGCACAACGTTAGACGGTCCTAGGCCAGTCTAGAAACAGGACTGTTAAGGCTTTAGCACCGACTTCATCTAGGACCTTTTCTTAAACTAATTCTATCGCAGAACTCACCACGCTAGGGAGCTGAGCCACTCGCCTACTAAGAAGCTGCACCAAAGCTCCGCAAGTCATCAAGTTCCATACGATATTTGCTGCCGCGGCTTACAATCAACAGCATGCTCACCAAAACCAACCTTCCCTTGCTTGAGTAAAATATCAAGTGGCTTCCAAAATAACAGCGATTTACTTCCCAAATATAATGAAAGATACATGTATGGGATCAGACCACGTGTTCTGTCCAATGTACTAGGGAAACTGGTCACGGGGAAAATCCTGGCAGAATTACATATACGAACGTGGCAAAAAGTTGCCCTGACTCCCGCTGCTGGCTCTGGAGCGCCCTACCCATAATTATAGATAGAGTCGTGAATAAATGCCAATTTTTTTTTTGAACCAAAGAATAAATGCCAAGTTTGAAAGCCTTATCTAAATAAAGATTTAAATTTTAAAAATTAATTTTTTTTTAAAAATAATCTGGCTTGAGAACTTAACTTGAGACACTAGCTCTAATAAATCTTATGAAAAAAAATTCAGACAGCTTTTCAAGCCTAATTATTTTATACACACACATATTTGATTAATAAGGGCATAATTTAATTAATATTTATTGAAAGTAATGAATAAAAAGTTATAGAGATAATTGACATTAAATTTCTACTTTCATCTTTAACAAATGAATCTATATTTGAAAGATTTAATATTGTATTTTTAAATAATGAAATGATTGGATTTAAATTTATATTGATGAAAAATTTAATCTTTATTTTAAATTTAAAATTTAAATCTTTATCAAATTTTATGAGACTGAGATTTGTTTTATGCTAAATTTTAAAATATTTTTTTAAAATTAAAATATTAATTTTTTTTGGAAAAATAGGCTTAAGGGCCAAGCCCTTATTTAAAAAGTCCTTATTTTGAAAATTAAGGCCGGGCTGTAGAATCATATTAAATTTTAAATAACCAAGTTTTAAGGCCTGAGCCTTTAAGGGTCGGGTCCATAAGGGCACCCTAATTCTCACCTCTAATTATAAAGCATGTATCATCTTATTCAGTATTCACCCAAAAAAAAAACAAAGAAAAAGGAAAAATATGAGAGAGAGAGAGAGAGAGAGAGGCAGCCAACACGACTCTACTAGCTTAACTAGTAAAAGCCACCGAAATTCCAACTAGACCAGAACGGAAGGCTAAGGCTGGAGATTATTGAAAAACGAGATTTTTATATAGCAAAACAAACACGAGGCATAGCACAATTATGAACAAAAACAAAACACATTCATGTACCTACCGAGTATACATAAAATTTCAACTTTACAAACTTAAGCTATTAGAAATATAAAAAGGGGAGGGGAAAAAAGATGTCCCGTTACCTTTCTTCCATTTCCCTTGTACAAAGTTACCTCTTGAGTGGTTTGTAGAGAACAACGGTCACATATTTGGACTGGAACCTGTGAGTCAGTCCCAGCGCAACCACAGACTGGGCGGCCAAGTTTTTTTCAATGAAGACATGGTTTAGCACAACGTGTTGAGGCTTTGAAGAGGTACCTACATCTGAATTCTCCGTACCAAGGACAGTGAGATGCAGCTGTTGAGGAACTGCCAATGGCTCTTTTGCAAAGTCTTCTTCAGCTGGAAACGCTTGACCATAACTGGCTTCTGGAGAGGGTGGAAGCTCAAATTCAATGATACTCTCAGGAATTTCAGGTACATAATCCTGCAGAATAAAGGAACAAATCAAACAAATCTGAAGTGATATAGATGGACAAAAAGTAGCAGCCAAGCTTTTGTGAATGAAGTTCTTTAACCTTCCGTTTGGATAGAAACTAAAGTTGAAAAAAAAGAAAATAAAAGAAGAGAAACCTTAAAAGCAAATATTATCCCTTCTTTTGTTTGGATGAACAAGAAAAAATAAAGAAAAAAGAAAATGGACAAATTGTATAATGATTATAATATCTTTATGTCAAAATATATCATGTTTGATGTAATTAATTTTATAAAAATAAATTGAAGGAAAAAATCATATTAAAATTAAATTCATCAAAATATTTAAAATACATTTTAAAAATACATTTTCATATTACGATAGTTTAAAACCAAATAATTTAGTATAAATTCATCATTTTTCTATCTAAAATATTAAATGGGGATAATTAATTTAAATTAAGTATAATCCATCCATATGGTGGGTGTAGCTCTGGTGAGATCATTGCACTGAGTCGAAGAAAAGGAAGGGCATGGGTTAGGCGAGGTTTTATACGGGGAGAGAGAAGTGGACAATGACTACAGCAGTACAGCGAGAAATACTGAAAACGAAAAAGGGGGGGAGATCGAGAAGGGTACATGTGCAACAACAAATTTCCTCCCAAAATCTCTCCATGCATGGAAAGAAAATCTAGGAAGAAAATGTGATGGATCTCACATCTTATTTTCTCTCACATTTTTCTTTCCTCTTACTTCTCCTTCCTCGTCCAAACAAGGTAAAATTTGTTTTCTCCCTTATTTTTCCCCACATTTTCTTTCCTCCTATATTTTCTCCCCATCCAAATAAAGAATAAGCATTTGTTATGTACTCCCCATCCAAATAAAGAATAAGCATTTGTTATGTACTCCCTCCAGTCCAAAATATAAGTAGTTTTTAGAAAAAATCTGCATATCAATAAAGTCATCATTTTCATAAAAATATATATTATTTTCTTTTTTAACTCTAAGTTCCAATTATCAATGCACTTCATGATGAGTGAAATATAACTTTACACAATGATCTAGGTAAATAAATAAGGGGTAAAATAGGGAAAATAATTTACATGTATTAGGTTACTTATACTTGGAACCAAAATTAACTGAGAGAACATGCTTATATTTTGGACCTATGGGAGTATGTTTCTAGTTCATAACTTCCTCACAAATTCTTTTAAGTCAATCATGTAGTAATGATTAGCAAGGTACGTAAAACCAGATCGATCATTGAACCGGTCATGGCACTGGGTCACGGGTTAGTGGTTCAATTAGGGTTGAACCGGGAGTTGAACCGGTGGCAAACCGGTCATGATTAAAATAATACAATTTAAATAAAAAGACATTAATTATAAAAACATTCAACCAAATCCAACTACTTAAAAGTCTAACAGTAATAAAATACAACATTTTAAATATCTATCATTACAATTACAACTCTTCAATCTCAAAAATCCAGAGAAGAGATGGAGATAGAGCTGGAGAGGAGATGGAGATTGAGTTGGAAAAAAGACGAAGAGTCAGAGACTAAGCTGGAGAAAAGATGAAGATAGTAGAGACAGAGATAGAGCTGGAGAAGAGATGGAGATAGAGCTGGAGCCTAAAGAAAAGACGGAGACTAAACTAGAGAAGAGACACTGATTAGGTCAGGGCGAGAGAGGAGAGACACAGATGAAAGGCCGAACTAAATGCTGTCTGAAAATCTAAATTAGACTTAGCGTGCTCTACCTCTAATTTTTTATTTTTTGACTTTAGTTTCTTTTTTTTTTTTGTTATCTTATTTCTGAATTCAGCACTCTAAAAAATAAAAAATAAAAAAAATTCTCAAAAAAAATAACCCGGTTAACCTGTTAACCCACCGGGTTAACCGGGTTATATCGGGTTGAACCCGGGTTGATCGGGTTACACCGGTTCATTCCCTCACCGGTTTAGCAGTAAACCCAGACCGGACAAGGGACCGGGTCACCGGTTTCCGGGTTGACCCGGCCGGTCCGGTCCGGGTTTCAATACCATGATGATTAGTAAAAAGTATCAATCTGCCATGTCTTTATAGAAAACGAGACAAAAAAACTTCTCACATTAACATCAAGAAGATTGCAGACACTACGCATCTCATCAGCTACATATGGAAGTTCAGGTATATATCTCTGTTCTCCATCAACAATGAACTTGTAATGATACATGCCGGAAGGGAGAACCATAACAATTGAGTGATCCTTGCCAGCTCTCTGCAGTTGCTTCCTGTAAGTAATAGAAGTTCAGTTATATTACCAAGTAAAAATGTAGAATATTAGCAGCTACATTGATATAATAAAGACGCTATCATTGATAAAGGAGTCTAAGTCTAACCTGGAAGTCCAATGATCCCAGGATCCCTGTACAGCCACATTGTTACCACCATAACTCCATGTAATCATGACAGGGATTCCTCGCTCAGGAGGTTTATCAACAATAGTATGAGTTTCATTCTGCCAGATTTGGTTGAAAAAAGGAGGGCCATTACCGCTTTGCAGTGGAGCTAGAGGAGCCTGAAAAGCACAAAGAAAAACAGGACATGGTGAAGCTGCTGATAATCTGATCAAAAGAAACAAGCTTCGTGCTCATTGTCAAATTGAGGAGAAGCATACTATCGAGTCTCTTTCAATAAAAGCTAGATATTGTCATTTCACATAAACACATGCAATGTCAGTGATGAGAGCACTAAGACTGCAAAATAGAAAAACAACTATAAGAACTTTCAGAAAGTCATCATAAAGAATATGTGAGCCTTCAAATTAACAAGATTTATTTATCGCAAATTATAACATGACAATAGAAGATATTTCAGTCAGGGATGATGGACTTGTCACCAACCACAGTCACTTTTCCATAAGTGGAAAGGTCAAGCCAAAGCCAACATTCCTGTATGTGAAAATTTTTGTTGGAGTTCTTTCAAATAACAAAAGGTTACAAACAGGAGAAGTGTTTTTATTTTTTTTTTTTTGGGGGGGGGGGTGTGGTTTGGGTGGCCAAAAATGAACCCTATAAAATTGAACAAGGGAAAAAATATATTTCTTTTAGCATATAGCCCTAGAGTCTAAGACATGAAAATACTGAGGTCAAATGCAACCCATAAAAATGTAAAAATTCCCAATAAACAATACGTTCATAAAACAGAGGTATTCATCATCTCAAGGAGACTGATAAATTTTATATATTCTTAAATCATATTTTATTATATACTAATAAAAATCATGGACTGCGAAATTCCAAAATAAACCTACCACTCTTTGATGGCTAATCTTAAACGCTTTAAGCACCTAATTTACTATGCTTCTAAAGTTGTATAGCTTAATATTTTCCTGTATATATAAATATATACCAATCAAATAGGGATACAATGCAAACTATTTAGCAACCTTGTCATCCAATGTAGCAGAAAAATGATAATTCCAGCTCCAAATATATACTCAATGGCATCCATCGCGTCTCTTGAATGCGAGCCAGCAAACATTAGCCACTTGGGGGAGAGGGGTGTAAAAACTAGAAAAAGAATGAGGATGACCTTCAGTTATTAAACATATTCATTCAGCTGCTATTCTGCCCAGCGAGTCTACCACAAGTTCCTATATTTTTAGTTCTTCATAGGTAAGAAGGTAAATACATTAGCCGCAGTCTTTCACTTTCCTGTATGTTATCATATTTTCCCATCTTTAACATAAAGCAACTATGGAAAATAATTTAAAAAAAAAATCATTGAATACAGTGAAATTAAATTTATTTAAATCTGTTATGATCTCAGTCTGATGAAGATAGTTGGAAGGAAACAGACCACAATTAAATAAATAACAAAGAGCTTAACACATTCCGGTCCCTCCAATTTCATAAGTTTCAATTAAATCCCCCTGGCTCAAGGGGAAAAAAATGTTTAGTCCTATGTTATAACAAACGATCACCCCTCTTTCACAACATCCAAAAATAAATAAATTCAAATTTAACAATTTGTTAGCTTAGACAATAAATAGGCAAAACCATTCAGACATACTCAATACAGTGTCCTTTTAAGACCAAAAAAAATTAAGGGAAATATGAAAAAGGGGCAAAATTGGATCCTTACTTAAAACAGAAGGGTGATATTGCCTGCTTTTGAACAAAAGGGACCAAATAAAAAATTATATGACTCAACAAAGACCAAAAGTATATTTAAGCCAAAAAAGTGGGGGCAAACAAAGTCCTGGTTCCTTTAATTGTTTTGGAAAGTAATATACACCTTAGAAGATAAAAAACCATTTTCCACATATTGTTGGGTTCTTTAAACTCACTAGGACATGACTTTTCTGTTGAGCATAGTCCCAAATACCTGAAAACGTGCAAAAAATTTTCAGAAGATATTCTATTTATCATAGTGAAAATCTACATTTGCAAACACATATGAACATGTACATATTGCACATCAGGCAAACGCATGGAAAAATGATTTAGGATATTGATGCAGATCAACATAGATATAATAGAGGAAAGGGGGAGACAGAAAAATAAAGGGGGAAGAAAGGAGGGGAAGAGATGGGTAACAAGTCAGACTTTATTAATAGTCAATCAAAACATTACCCTAACCCTAGTTACTAAGGGATTTATAAAGTCCAAGAGATAACACCTAATAAGATAAATTAATTCAAAGATAGAATGATAACTAATAAAAGGATAATTAAATTCAAACAAAACCAATTAAATAATCCCCATCTGTATATTTATCCTTAATACTAATTTACAAGTGTTTAATAATGTCCCCAACGCACTCCTCTCATACTCCATCATGTTATCAAATTAACTTGCGCTTAAGCAGCTATGCACATAAGGAACTGAATATATAAAGCAACTGAGGTGCCCACCTAAGTGAGGCTGACTTCCTCAAATGGCCTGTGATTTGGAATATTGGAAATTTGACTCATTACCTTCACATAAGAGACACTCAATTCCCAGTGGACAGACAGGCTAAACGGGCTTTTGAGCCCAGAAAAGATTCCTTCAGCCAAGAGAGAGGATGCCAAATGCCAATATATCTGTCACGGTGAATCAGACTCTTTTCATGCTTATCTCTATTATTTCTCTCACCTTTGGCGAAATCATTTGCAGCTCTCTCTGTTTTTTTTTTTTTTTTGGGGTAAAAATAGAAAAAAGAAATGCAACAAACATTGAACTTTGCCCTCCCCACAACACTTGGTTTAGCATATATCAATTTTTCATCATTTCATCTTCATACATTATTTAATTATGTTATATAACTTAATTTTGTTTTTCATAGATGGCTGCCTTAACTTCCCTTTTTACCTTGTGACAATATTCACTCGTACTAAAGAAAACAATTTAGAAAATAATTATCATGGGCAAAAGACATCAATCTGACTACCAAAATATGACCTGCCGAGTCACAAGTTAAACATGTTCCAAAACACCAATTTTATTTTTATTTTTTGCAATCTGCATAGCGGATATCTGTCAAACCTTACATAAGAAACCAACAAGAGCAGTAGGAAAGTGATATAAATAACTATCACACTAAAGTTCCTTGTCTGATTCTTCTTATTCAGGGAAACACTCAAAAATCAACTCATAAAAATTGTTCTCCCATCTAATAACAGGCATCTGTCCAAAGGAATGTCATTGTAAAAACCTCAATGGGTAAAGGGACAGTTGGGAAGTATTTTCTCAATCCTAGGGATTGATGTATATTGGCATTGAGCACTATTTAATGAAACAAGAGAAAATCATTGTATAATATACTTAACTGTGATTAATATAAATGGGCAAGATGTTCCTGGATTTTGAGTAAAACATTCTAAATTGTACTACAGTACATCCATTACAATATCCCAAATCATGGCTTGGATTTTGGTGGACTGCACGCACCCATAAATCAAAATTTCACATCATGTTTCTCAAACAGATAAGTCACTGAGTATAGTTAGTAATATTTTGGAGCTGATATCTCAGAGCTTTACAAAAAGAAAATGAGTGTTCTTGCATCATTAAAATAAGTAAACATTTCACCATCATTCATTTGCCCCACTGGCATTCAAAAAAAAAAAAAAGAGTTCGCTCACTGACGACAAAGAGCATAGGTACAAGTGATTATTGAACTGGACAAAATTAATTGTTCGACCATTGTACACTGCAGTTGTGCGCGGGCTTTGAAATAGGATAAGATTAACATGTTGACCTTCCTCTATTACAATACATGACATATAGTTCCAGGAAATGTTTCCAACTGTTACTGATAGAAAACAAAGCAATAAAGAACCTGCAAAATGGCATGGTAACCATGTTGACTGATGCAGCTATTCTAAAAATGCAAGCAAAAATACCAAATATCGCCTAGATCCACACTTTCTCGCTAGTCTTTATGCGATTTTCGTAATTTTTTTTTTTTTTTTGCATAAATCTCATTATTCAATAACAACCAGTCATATTACGTTCAGTCATTATAATGCTTATCCTTTTTTTTTTTTTAATCAAACCGTTATAATGCTAATCCTTGTCGAAACGCAGTTGATGATATAATCAATATTATATTTTCCAGATCTATTAGATTCCGAAAGATCTATTCGCATGTCATTTACGAAGACTTGACACGAGCATAATTTATTCTAGCATTTGCTATACAGCTGTCATTTTAGTCCTTACCGGTTTCCAAACTCTTCCTCTCTGGCAAACGCTGACCAACACATATAGTTAGCCTTCAAAATGTCAGGATTCCATTGCAGAATGCTCAAGCAGATAGATAGGTCTACAAGCTGGTAACCACACAATGAATTCATGCAGAAACGTTGCCCAAAACATGAATAGTCTTCACTCAGAATCATTGCGACAACGTCATAGCAAGACCGATCAAACATATGAAACCAGCTGAAAAACCAAAATCTACTCCACACAAACAACCAAAAAATCGCACCCAAAGCTAACAGAAGAGCAAGAATCAGGACAAGCATGCAGAGAAAGTTAAAATAGAAACGTAGAGGAGGAGGTCGAAACCTGAGGAGCGAACACGACCGGTGATCGAGATCGGCCGGGACTAGGAGGCGGACTATTCGCCATGGGATCGATTGAAGCAGCCCGAACCGGAGGCTGAGAAGTCGGCGCGTAACTGCCACGGATGCCTGATTCAGCGGCGGATCGATCATCGCTGCCAATGGCTCCATCTTCTCTGCCGTTGGCGTTTCCCATCGATTTCCTCAAGAAATGCCGTACAGATCCGCAAGCCAAAGAAAATTTTATAATTGCAGAAAACGAGAATGCAATATTTTATTTATAAGTTTCCATGTAGGATACACAAACAGATGTCGTTTTGATGACAATGCAGGCCGCGAAGTTTGGTGTGGTGACTGGTGAAGCGGGAAGCGAGAGAAGGAAAATGTCAAGACTCAAGAAGAAGAATAAACATCCGTGGCGAATGGAGTTTCCGTTTAGTGCAAGGGATAGAGACTGGAACACGCAGAGAGCTGCCGGGAAACCACTCTTATCCCTCTTATCAAGTTCTCGCTATGTTTGGCGCAGAGGAGGAAGCAGGCCGTATGTGAAATTTATTTTATTTTATTTGGTTGCACGCGCTTCGTGCATGCGTGACTCGCGTGTTGTCGAAGGAAATTGGTCAATTGGATCTGGATGTAATACGTAAGGTTAGGGGCAGAAATGTATTTTCAAGTTTCTGAGAGAGTGAGAGACCGGAGGTGCGGCTCCCATGGTTGTTGCCAACTTACCACGGGCCTCCTGAAATGCATTGAATCGTTCTAATCTCCAATGCCCGGTCACGTATTCATCTTTTTGAATGGAATTTGGATTCCAAACAACAAAAGGCTACCGTTACACAGTGCACTTAGTCAATCCAAATGTGGAAGCATTTAGCAACAAGGAAAAATTGAAGAATGAATTTTGGAATGGATTGTGTTCGGATTTCAATCCAAAATCAATTATGAAGATGGGAACATAGAAAATGCTCAAATATTGAGAATTGATTCTCAAATAAAAGGAAAAAAATAGTTTAAGTTAAATAGATTTTCTGAAAACTAATGAAATTTGAGAAAATTGATGGTATTTGAATAAAAAATTTTAAAATTATGATTTCGGACCCAAAATTAATTGCACATGTGTATCAAAACCTACGCTGGGTCGAGTTTTTAATTTTTACAGCATTTTCTTGGTTAAAAAAACAAAAGATTAACCATTTTAGGTAAGGAAGGCAAGAATGAATATTGTATTCTTGTCATTGTTATTGTGGATCTTTTGTAAGGAAGTATAAACATATATTTTATATTATAAACCAAATGGTATGGCCAGATATGAGAATGGATTTTATTTCAAAATTTGGATTGTTCGTGTTAAAATTAGGCATTTAATTATATATTATGTATAATATTTTAATATAATTTATTGTAATAGATATATAATCCAAAATAAAAATAATTTCTTCGTTGTTAATTTCATGAAAATTAATTTTAATTTAAAATTAAAGATGAAAATGAAAATAAATCTAAAATATTTCGATTAAATATGAATTTACAAATTTCATGTCATAGATGGAAGAGAAATGAAAACAGAATATGTATATCCAGATATAATTTATTTTCATTTTATCCCCTCCAAGAAAATAATTTGTATAAAAAGATTTTCAAAAATAAGTCATGTATATCGTATATTGTATACAATAATAACATGGTATTAACTTTGTGCAGTGTTATCATTCAGGACATTAGGTCCAGGACATTGAAGTCTTACTATTAAAATTTACAAGTCATACATTCAACGTGATTTTTAATGAGATAATTTTTTTTTTATTTTGGTTTGTTAGTTCTATTTGAAAGTAATGATATGTTATTGGTGGCATTTTTAATGCTATTTTTTGTTGCTTTGCTTTTTCATTAAATATAAACATCTTCATCTAGTCAGCATCAAATATATACTGACTTCGTTTAAAAATGTAAAATATTTTTAACTGAATTTTATCTCAATAAAATAATTATCTACTCTCAAATTAACCTTATCTTTTTATATTTATCTCTATTATATATTCTACAATAAATATAAAGTCATTATTAATAAATGTACTTTTAAAAAAAAGATAATAATTACACCTTAAAAGAGTAAAAATGCCTTATATTTTTTAATATCTAACTCTTTAAAAAATATTTTATATTTTTAAATGAAGGAAATATAACATTGCTAGATAGTTTGCAGAGACGGTGCTATTTTTCAAAGAAAAAATATTTTGACAAGATTTATTATTTATAAATTATATAAAATATAATATAATTTACTTTTCAGATACCTTAAAAATCTATTTTTGCCAGACAAATAATTTAATTAGTATATATACAGATAAAGTATAATTTCACATATCTTCCGCTGTATGAGAAATTTAATTTCATAAATAATTTATATAATAAATTAAAATTATATTTAAAAATACAATACTATTCTCGTTAAAAACTATTTGATAGTTTTAACCAAATTTCATTCTAAATACATTAGTTATCTGTTTTTAAATTAGACTTTTTTTATATTTATTCTTATTTAATAGAATCCTTTATGTAAAAATAAAAATAAAATAATTTACTTGTTTAAAGAAATTTTAAAAAATATATTAATTATATTTTAAAATATTAAAATATTTTATATTTTTTATTTTTGAAGGGGGAGTATTTATTAGTCATTGGAACATAATCGCCTGAAATTATCAGTTTATCACTTGCAGGCGATAACCGGTGGGCGAGTGAAAGCAGTAAAAACTAAAAAAGACTGGATTCGCGCGTTGAGTTACGTGATGATTACGTTTATTGAGCTCTTGTCTTTTATATCCGTTGTGGCATGATTGTCACGTGAGGTCGGTGGGTTGATTACATTTCCATGTAGCACTTTAGCGGCTGGGGACTGGAGGAGCATCCGTCATTTTAGTTTTAATTTTTTTAAAACAAATCAATCGAATTATATAAAAAATTTAAATTAAATTAAATTAAATTATAATTAAATTGAATTATAATAGTTCAATTAGATTTATTTATTCAGTTTACAAGCTTTAACTTGGATCTATAAAATTTAATTATTCATATATTCTTTTATCTAATTTTTTTTATAATGAAGGCCCAACAAAAAATAATAATAATTTTATATTATAATTCATGAAAAAATTAATAAGATTAGGTACTATTGCATTAAAAACTAAATTATAAAAATAAAAAATTAGAACATCACATTAAACAATAAAATACTATTACTGTAAGTAGTAGAAGGATGTTTTAATTCACTTAAATGAGAATTTATTTACATTTTTTAAAATATAAAAAGAAAAATATGTATAATTCGATTGATTTGATTTATTTAATTTAAAAATTTTCACACCAAATTGAATCAATCAATTAAATTTTTTTAAAAGAAAACCAAATCAAACCAAAAAACTAAATAAATTCGGTTTTGCTCACACTTAACTGAGAGCAACCGAATATAATAATTTAATATAAACAAAAAAAAAATTCCTTGATGTTAAATATCTTCTTTGCCATGTTTGATTTCCTATTTTCATAAGTTTTTTTATACCATCGCATCAGTTTTTGTTTTAAAAATAAAAATTGGTTTAAAAATAATTTTTAATTATTTAGTCTGAAAAATAAAAAAATTAAAATTCATTCTTAAAAATAAAACATTATAACTTTATATTTTGTTACCTTTTTGTTCTATAAAGTTAGAAAAAAGGACGGTAACATCATATTTTTATTCGGTTGTATTTTGAGTAGGTACAAAACAAAAGTTAGAGATAGAGAAGCGACGAGATTGGATAAAATAATTCTCTATTTTTAATGTTGTTAAAGCAATTCTAATAAAAGAGAATATCATGTAAGTCCCTCCAAGAAACATAATTTCTCAACAAGTCAAAAGGATTTTAATATTTCTCTGGCTTGAAAGAGTGCAGCTATTTTTAAAAATTAAAAAGACCAAACTATCCTTAATAAGTAAGAATATCTATGCTCAAGAGAAATAATAATAGAGAAGGTCATTAAATAATTAAAAAGTTTACTTATTTACAATAATAAATTTGTTTATTGTAAGAGTTCATGCAAGTTTATACTTATACTTAAAAAATTTACAAATTTAACCAAATAAAATTAACAATAAAAAGTCCATAAATAACAATATTCTAATTAAAATAATGTGATACTTGTATTTTTAATAAGTACAATACAATAATAAAATGTAATAAAATAAATTGTTTGCATTTTCAGTATATAGAGTAATAAAATTCTAAAAATAAGTTGTTACCTAACAAATTATAAATTAAAACAAGTTCTGCAGTAAAAGATATGATGATATTGATATTGATGTCCCCTCCCAAAAAAAAAAAAATCATTATAAGCGGCTTGAGCATTTACCTTTCACCTATGTTTCGTTCTGTACTTACCACATGGCCTAACGCAGGTTCAATTGGTAACATTGCGTGTGATGAGAGTGCAATGCGCAAGACATATCATTTTGTCACATGGATTCGACATTTTGTACCTGTGGAACTAAATGTCTATAGTATTACAAGAACATCTCATGTAATGCATGATTGACTTGCTAATTGATGATTACAAGAAGGCAAAATGAGTGATGTAAAGGATATATAAACGAGAGAGAATAAATGTAATAAACAAATCCTTTACTTGTGATGTAAAGGATTTTTTTTTTTAACTCCGCCTATGTTTATAGCCGGTCCCAAGCCCGGGTAAAGGAGGAGGGTTGTATTAGGCCATCAACAGCCAATATAAAACTTTGTTGAATCTATCATGAACATGGACAATAGACGTTATAATGTATAATTAATAATATTTCTAAAAGCTTGATAAATGATAGAGCACAATGGCGTCTTGCAATCCATGTAGCCGACTCCACTTAGTGGGATAAAGATTTATTGTTGTTGTTATGATAAGAGGATTTAAATCATTGACTTTTACTTACTCTCACTGGCCCTTCCAGCTGTTTCAAATTTTTGGTTATTTATATTATACCCCTTGCGAAGATGAAGGGATAATTTTCCCAAAATAAAAATACATCTCTCTTAGACAAATAGAATTTAGAAAAAAAAAAAACTAACTCATATATTTTTTGTTGGAATATTTTCAAAAGGAAAAGATATCTTCTTGTTTTTTTTTTAAGTCATGTCCTTATAAATTAAAAAATTTTTATGAAGGGTTATGTAGAGAGTTATAATCACCAATGTTATGTTTTTTGAAATTTTAAAGGCACCTTTAGAGAGTTATAAAACTAAAATGTATCATTTGGTAAAAAAAATATTTCAAAAAAACTCTATCTATTAAAATGACATTTCTTTTCATGAAAAATTATTATAAAATAATCTTTGATTAATATTAATTATTAAATTATGTTATTCATGAGCTAACATAGGTTGTTCATGAGCTAACATAGGGTTAAGAACAAACAAAGATAAGTAAAGTTTTATTACTTAAAATGTATCATTTCAAATTATCAATTCAATATCTATAAATACACTTTACCATTACTCATTTTTCATATCCAAGATGAACATTTAACTGTTCAAACTCATTACTTTTGTCTTTAATTGCACCATAACAAAGTCAATTTATCATTTAGTAAAAATCATTATTGTCTTGGTTTGAGTCTTTGAAATACAATACATACTCAAAGGTCTTTATTATATCTTGAAGGAAATACGCCACTAATCTAATTTACATTTAAAGATTAGAATAGGTGAGAGCGATTTAAACCTAAAATAAAGTGGTGCTCATGCTTAAAGACATCTTGCACAATTTTTTCTCTTCATCTCTATTTTTTTTTTTTTTAATTCTTATAAAGCCATTCCCGCGAACACTTTTTAGGTAATGACTTGCATAATAACAACTACGGAACAATAATATATGTATATATATATATATAAACTTAAGATAGTTTACTCCACTTAAATTAGGGTAAGTAAATTTCTAAATACATTATATTTGCGGTGCTATTAACTTCAGTTCTCATCAATGCTTATTTGTAAATTTCAAATCTGCATGCATGTTCTTTAACTTGACAAAAGTATGTTATGCAAATTTAAGCATCAATTAAACTAAGGCAAGGTTTCCTGGTTTAATTTTTGTTAATTTATGCATGGT